TCAAAGGAATAACACTCACATGAGAAGAAAGAAGAAGCCAGAAGGACTATTTGACGAATAATGGCTGAAAACTCCTCTAATCTGGGGAAGGAAACAGTCACCCAGACCCAGAAAGCCCTGAGAGTTCTAAACAGGATGAATCCAAAGACAAACACACTGAGACACATTATGGTTAAAATGCTAAAAGTTAAGGATAAACAGAGACTCTTAAAATCAGCATGAGAAAAGCAATTAATTACTTAAGGAAAATCTCATAAGGCCATCAGAAGACTTTTTTTTCATCAGAAACTTTACATGACATAAAGGAGCGGCATAACATATTAAAAACGCTGAAAAGAAAAAAAAAAACAAAAAACACACAAACAACCTGCCAACCAAGAATTCTCTACTGGCAAAGTTACCATTCAGAATAAAGGAGATATTACGAGTTTTCCAGGTAAGCAAAAGCTAAAGGAATTCATCACCACTAAATTGGCCTTATTAGAGATGTTAAAGGGACCTCTCTAAACTTAAAAAGTGCTAATTAATAATGAGAACAGATAAAATTAAAAATCAATATAAAGGCAAATAAATACTAAAGGTAGTGGGTCAATCACTTATATAGCATATATGAAGGCTGAGACAAAATTATTACATAAAATTAAAGTACAATAATTAAGATACACATAGTAAACTAAAAAGGTATAAAATGTGTCATTAAAAATATAAGACATATGGAGAGTATACATATATAGGATGTTGTATGTAAACCCCATAGTAACCACAAAGAAAAAACTTATTAATAAATACACAGAAGAAAATGAGAAAGAAATCTAATACTAAAGAAAATCACGAAAAAATCACGGGAAAAGAGAAAGAGAAGAAAAGAACAGAGAGGAGCTACAAAAATAACCTGAAAAATTAACAAAATGACAGTAAGTCAATTGTTTAGTCACTCAGTCATGGCCAACTTTTTTGCAACCCCATGGACTGTAGCCTGCCAGGCTACTCTGTCCATGGAATTTTCCAGGCAAGTTTACTGGAGTGGGTTGTCATTTTCTCTGTCAGGAGATCTTCCCAACGTGGGCTAGAACCCACGTCTCCATGTCTCCTGCACTGCAGGTGGATTCTTTACCAAGGAGTAGGGAGAAGAGAATTTCTATATGTAATAATAGCATATAGATGTACTGTAGTACTTACTAAGTTATAGGCACCAATCATATATAAACTCATTAAACTGTAATAACAATCCTATGTGATGAATGTTACTAATATCCCCATTTTAAAGATAGGGAAAATGTAAGTTACCTAAAATGTTACTAATAGTCACTCAGTCATGTCTGACTCTTCAGGACCCCATACTCCATGGACTGTATAGCCTGTCAGGCTCCACTGTCCATGGAATTCTCCAGGCAACAATACTGGAGTGGGTTGTCATTTCCTTCTCCAGGGGAATCTTCCCAACCCAGGGATTGAACCCAGGTCTCCTGCACTGCATGCGGATTCTTTGCCATCTGAGCCACCAGGGAAGCCAGTGAGTTACCTAAGATGGCTGGATAAACTGCTGAAGATGGAATCTGCTCTCAGGAGGCAGAAGAAGAGTAGGAAGAAAAGCAAGTACTACACTAATACCGTTTTGATAACTACTGAGAGATCAAGTTAGATAAAAAATAGAAAAGATGTCAACTAGATTTCATTAATGACTTGATCAAAAAAGCTACAATAGCATGGTATGGAAACAAACCATAGTAGAGATCATTGAACCAATAATATAAAAGATATACTTAATAACATTTACATAACATACACAGCCCCTCCAAGATAAGGCTCATTCTTCTAAAATTTAACCAGAATCAACTGACTTCCCTAAAAACATCCCAGATATTTCCAAACAAAAGTACATAACATTGGAGTCTTCAAAACTGAGGCATTTCATTTGTTTATAACAACAATTATAATAATTACTTTTTAAGTTGCTTTGTTTTTCCTTCAGGAAAACAGAAATTCTGATTTTTCAAGAGTATGGTTGTTAACCGACAGCAGTTTTGCAATATGGATCAAAAATTAAAATGTGATTACAGTTTGACCAACAATTACATTCTTAGGAATTTATCCTAAAGATACCATAAGTATGTAAAGATGGAATTTAAGGATGTTTGTTATAGTTCTGTTTAACAGGGAAGTCTAAAAACAATTTTAATCTCCATAAAAGTTAAAAATATAAAATTGGTTAAATAAATTATGATACATACAATAGAAAAATAAGCAGTCATTTAAAAGGCTAAGGAAGTTCCATGTGTAATAATAGCTGCTGGGTGACTGTAGTGCTTACTAAGTTACAGGCACCAATCATATATTAACTCATTAAACCTTAACAACAATCCTATGGAATAGGTATTACTAACATTTCCCATTTTAAAGACGAGGAAACTGTTAATTGGCCTAAGATCACTGGACAAATTGTGTAAGATGGGATTTAAACTCAACCAGTCTGACCCCGTGCTTTTAACCACTACATGTATATTATAATACAGAAGGATATTTATAATATATTACTATATTAAAAAGTCTTGTCCAACAGCATTTTTAAAAGAAAATAAATATATATTCATCCTTTTACATTGTTCTTTTAGATTTACTTACTACCTCCCCATCGTCTTATCTGTAACCCTCAAACCCATATTAAAACATATTTATTTATATACACATATATGTATATGAGTATATGTAGGTAGGTAATACATCCTTACATATTCAATAGACTAAAGCATAGGAGAAAGATTTTACATCCAATTTTTATTATGATTTCCTCTGAGGTAGGGTTATAAATGGGCTTTAACTCTGTAATGTTTATATGCTTGTGGTCAAGGTGGAGGGAAACGTTCTGTCATTTACTTTTTAATCCTTGTCAGAAAGCAAAGAATCTATTCTGATTAGAAATTTTCTCTGCCAACATGAAGTCACTCAGATTAATTCTCACTGATCATCTCCCATCTATTATAATGTACTATGCTATGACTACTGAATGCATCATATAATCACTAAATTAGATTTTTAGGAATATACCTATCCTACCTAATGGATTCTGACAACAGCCTAAATAATTTAATGATGATACTATAAGGAATCCTTCTTTTAGCTGAGTGGCTTTCTAGTCACCTGGTAGACTGTTTCTAACCCAAAAGTAAATAGCTCCCATTCAGAAAACAGATGTTATAAACCATACTAAGCTACAGAGACACTCACCTATGTTTATGTTGTTTAAAAATGTTATTAATTCAGCTTTACCTTTGCTAAATCAAAAGATTTCAAACAATCTGGGGCCTTGGTTCTATCAATTATCAGCTGGGGGAGAGAATTATTAAATGGTTTTCTCTGATACAGTTTATGGTTCTCCTACAAATAACATCTGGATATTTAATATATGCTAATAAGATGATCTAAGCCAACACTCAATGCTCAAGTGTTAGCATTGAGTGCTCAAGTAATGTTAAGTAATTGCTCAAGTAATGTTACTTACCTTTCTGATTCCCCTCATCACAAGAAGTAGAGAGAAATCCCTCTGCAGCTATACTGAAAATTGGTTAGGCTAGATCCATAAGCACTTTCAGCTATCCCTAAGTTTATTATTTTTATATAAACAAGTTTACATTCTTTTATCTGACAGATGAGAAGCTAAAAATTAATCACTGTCAAATGCATTTTGGGGTATTCTTTTTCTAGGTGGGAACAGTCAGATCAGTTAAGTACACTTAGGTACAGCCTATGTGTACTGATTCTATGTGGGGTCAGCTCCAAAATTCAAACAAGAGCTCCTAAAGTAACTTTGTCAAATGAATTGTTCATATCTAAACTCAAAATGAAAAATACGAAGTACACTGTATGTACATTTTAACAGAATAAGAGAGAAGGAGCAGTAGCCCATGTCTTGAGTTATATAAGGCCCACGTAATGTGATGCCTTTGCTTTGGATAAAAGTATTTAATGGTTAAACAGGAAAGCTCTCCTAAAATATGAAGAGGTTCTCTGAAGCTTCAAGTTACGATCTTTGAGGAAATGTAGAAGACTTATAGGGAACCTAGTAATAAATTCAGAGTAACTTCATGAATATAACAGTAATCACAATAATGACAGCTACCATTTATTAGGCAATACAACTTTCCATTATGTTAAGGGGTTTTATGGATCCTATTATTTAGCAAGCCTATGAATTAGTTTTCATTACTATCTCAAAACTCAGGGTCTGAGCACTATGAGTAATTTGCCCAAGGTCATACATTAGAGCTGAAATTAGAACCAAATCTATCTGAGTCTGGTGTCTGCAATTTTAACAACTACATTTTACTAGGAAAAGGGTGAGCCTGCATCTTTTTATAAACAAGGCAATTTTCACCTTCAATAATAATAGAACTTCATTTTTAACCAAAGGACAAAAACCAATCGGGTTATTTTCATCAACTCTGTAGCAAATGTCTTGCTGTTAACACACTTTCAAAGTTGCATTGATATGTTGATATAAAATCCAATGAGGTAATTATAATTGAATTCTGACATGTCATATAAATTTCTAGCTATCAGAGAAAGAACTGCAAATTGCAAGTAGCAGTTTCTTTTTTAGTCAGCATATTACGGAAGCTTTCTAATAATTCAATTATATGTTTAGCTACTTTTAGAGATGTTATTATGGTAAGAAGCATTTTAAGGAAAAAGCTGGCATCATTTTGACAGAGAACAGGTTTTAACTTTTTCTCATATCATCCAACTCGAATGAATGGAAATATTTTTATATGCTACTGGAAAGAGTGTTAATGATAGCAAGATTAAATGGATTATAAGAAAATGAAACTTGAAATACACAACAACAACAAACGATGGGAGAAGGATAGAAGAGCAAAGTTTCTCAGAGAAGTCGTTTTTTGTGTTCAAGAATCTAGAATGAGTCAAAGGTTGTAAACTGAATGATGCTCAGTTCCAAGGGCAGAGAGATAAGACAGTTTGGTTAAACATAAAAATGGACTTACTTTTAGAAGAGCCAAGGCTACATGAAAGATTATGTTCAAACCCTGAAACAGAAAAAGAGAGTCAAAATCAATAATCACATTGATCACTATTTTATTAAGTATTTTCCCAAGACCTCCACATATCATTAATAAAATCTGATTGTTTTCATTTCCACATGCAATAATAATTAAACGATGAGATTTCTCAAAGGTATTTTTCTTCTCTGAGAGGCTTATTATAAATTTTAGGTCCTATTTAATTGATGCTCACATAAAATTATTGCTTTTACAGTAAATTACTTTTCCTCAGTCTATTTCTGGTTCAAGGCCTGCAAAAGTCAAGTTCCTTGATCAAAATGGCAGTGACACTGAAGTCTAAAATTATTAAGTGAAATTTCTAAGTCCTATCTGTGTTATATGGTTACACTGCCTGTGGAAAACAAAACAGAGAACAAAAGGTGTTCCTGGTAACTGAGGCAGATTATATGAGGGGAACTGTAAGCATCACACTGGATTTCCACTACCTACCACTCTAATTGTTTTGTTGTTTTAGTGTTTGTTTTCAAGGAGTATTTGTACAACTAGAGGTTGCAATTAGGGGCTATCTGCTAGACTTCCTTGTCTTCTTTTTTCCAGAAAACCAGAGCAACATTTCTTCAGGAATAAAAAAAAATTAAATAGATTGCTAAGAAGCCATACTGGAGCTGAATTTTGACTCTGAGTAAGATGTTGAGATATAAAAGTCAAGAGAAAGGAATCTTAAATGCTCAAGATGACAGAGGCAGAAACAAAATTGCCACAGAATACGCTGTTTCTTTGCCATGCAAGTCATCATTCATGAGAAAAAAGACCTTTCAAATTTCAGCTGATATCTCCCATAAGTTCGTATCTTCCCATAACTATGTGGTATGCCCTCTTCAGCTTGGTCACAAGTATAATCTAAACTACCTTTTGGACATGGAATTGTACTAGATGTGCTATGCAAAGAACTCCTCATGAACCATCCTTTTACTATCTGCAAAATCAGGAGCAAGGATTAGGACTAGATAATTAGAGTATATTCCTGTTATAATATGAGAATCTCTCACATTCAACTACCGAACATATGATGTAATGGCAGAAGAGATGAATGATAAACACAAAATAGTTGGTTGAAAGTTTTGAGTGTACTGAGTAATTCGTTAAGAAATCAAAGCAGTAAAAAGCATAATCAGGCCAGGAGACAAAATCAAATTGACAAAGAGTTCATTACCACAGCAAGCAATGATTTTAGACTAGTTTTGATCACCATTAGAAAAAAGAGAGAGATACTACTATAATAATAACAATAATAATAATTTTAAAACAACTTGGGTTACAATTAAGTGGAATTTGCTTTCCTAATCTAAATTTGGATCCTTGCCCTCTAGCTGTAGGCCCTGCTCCACATTCCCTCCATCCCCCACACCACACCACTAGGCATAGTCCAACCTCACAACCTGAATGCTGTGCTGATCAACCTGCCGTGAAGACCAAATCCACAGGATCTCTGATTCTTAGTTGTTTTTTTTCCCAATCACTGTCACTACGTAAGCACCTCTTGTCTATAGTTCTCTAATCCCCATAAAGCTCTGGCCTTCCTCCTAAGCCCGTCTCCCACCCTTCCATCTCCTTTCCAGACTCCTTCAGAGTTCATGTTCATGTTCAGCCCCATTCCATGTTCAGCCAACTTTGCTATGCTCTTGACCTCCCTGCCAAACATTTCTCCCACCTCCATGCTTTCACAGAAAGAGTGAAATCTAGGGATCCATATAGCAATCTGTATTATGATTCTCATTTTTCAGAGCATGAACTTGATTACCTAAGTTATATATGCATTTAGCAGTTGCAGGCTAGGATCACTCTCCAAAGCCTCCCAAATGAGTAGTCTAATGGCATTTTCACCTCACAGTGTTGCTGTAATATGTATAATAAGTGCTTATTTGATAACCAAATGATTATATTAGGTATCTCCAAGTTTTCTGGGATTTATTCTTTTCCATATGCACCCAACTAGACCAATTTGTAGAGTCACCATCAAATAACAGTAAGAAACATTTTCTTCAATTATCTCAAATTATTGGACAATTGAGCTATGGAACACACAAAGAAGAATTTAGGGAAAAAAAGAATCTGTAAATAACCAAAACAGCTCTTGCTAATAGCAAAGAAAAAACTTATTCAAATTTTAATTTCACTTACACTTAGAATTAGTAAAGAATCTGCCTCCAATGGAGGAGATCTGGGTTTGATTCCTGGGTCACGAAGAGCCTCTGAAGAAGAAAATGGCAACCCACCCCAGTATTCTTGCCAAAGAATCCCATGGACAGAGGAGCCTGGCGGGCTACAGTCCATGGGGTCCCAAAGAGTTGGTACGACTGAAGCAACTAACAACATGATTTTATTGTTCACAGATATCAGAAGTAGCAAGCTAAAAGACAAAGTATGTGCTAGATGGGATTAGGGACATAGCCTATAGAGACAGTTATCAGAATCAAAATATTATACTTGATAGAAGGTAAACTTTTAAAAAAATGTATAGCTATCTGGGCTCATCTAATGACATCAAAAGACCTTCAATAGCTAACATTACTGTGGTAATCCCAGAAATATTAATGAATGCTTATATTATATTTGAAACACTGTGCTTAAGAAGAAAGCACAGTCTGTGTTTTAAATAAAAAGTAGCTTTTAAAGCTTGGGCAGCTAAAGAGGTAACTTTCATTTATTAGAAGATTTTATACAAATAAACTCTTTAAATAAGTTCATAATGTACATGTTTATGTGAAACCCTAGAAGTTATCATAAAAAATGAAGAAAAGTAAAGACTTCATAAGCTTTAAATTGAAGTAGAATAGTGTGGCCAGACCATACAAACAAAGGCACAATATTTTCAGACCTCTAGATTGCAGGAAATTAGAAAAAACATGCTATTCTGCCAAGTTCTTTATTTCACTACAAATGTATCCTGATTTCCTAACAGAATAAAAAAGGCAACTTTAGTCAGACATTTAAAATTATCTATTTTTCTCTTTCAGATAAGAGTTATTCCCATTTAGGAATATAATTAGAGGTATTATTAAATTATAGTAACCTCCATAGGCCAGCATTCAGGCGGCACAAATAGGTTTCTTTTAAGATGACAATGTCAGTACAAGCTTAGGTCCTCAACCTGCTAGCCACCAGTGAAATACATTGTAAGCAAACAACCGTTCACTTTTCCAAGGCACCAAGTGAACTAAATGACCCATTATTTTACCATTTAAATGCCCCGCTTACTCTTACATGGTCCAACATTTGTCTAATTAAGCTGAAATATATTTAAAAAAATTTTTTTAAAGAAAAGATGTCATACACTTTCAAGATGCCTCCCTATTCAGAAATATGTAATCTATAACAATTTGTTTTTCACTGAGGGGTAAATAAGTGTTCCTAGTGGGATTGAAAGGGTTAAGGTACTTAAAGAATTATTAAGAGTGAAAATAACAGGTAAATACACTGTCATGGCTACTTACCATTTATATGCAAAGTCTAACTCCAAGGGCAAGATAATAAATGAGTCAATATCCATTGACTATTTCCTACATGTCAAGATCTAAATTAATTACACCATAAATACGTCCTTACTTAGTCCCACAACAACCTGAAATTCCATTTTACCCACAAAAAAATTAGATTTAGAGAAGCCAAATTATTTTTCCTAAGGTCACAGAGCTGTTAAAAGGATTTTAACCTATACAGTATAACTCTAGAAGTCATACTCATAACCACTGTTAAGAGAAGATGGCTGAAGGAATGAATGAATGAATACCTTAGCTGAGTATTATTTAATGTGGCCTCTAATTCTCAAAGGATTAAAGTGATTCTTCCCATTTAAAGGCAAGTATATTTTGAGAGCAAGGAGGAAAAAGATTAATAATAGGTGACCTCTATCAAAACCAAATTTTATTATTTGTCTCCATATTAAAAACACTCACAAAAATCATCTGACTGCTTGCAGGACGTGCAGCAATAGAAAAGCTTGCTGTGAAAATAAAGGGTCACCACCTTTATCCAGTGACAACAGACTAAGTGACAACCTTCTGGGTATGAAGTAGTTCCTTAACTGCCTGGGAAGCTGCTGTATCAAAATTTAGTCACAGCCTGGAAAAATCTTCACTTTAAAGAACACCTACAAGTAATTGCCTCAAATTAAATAATTGCTCCAAAGTGCAGATCATCGTGTTCCTGGGTAGGCCGACAACTGAGCACCCACCACCCTGTATGACGGCAGGCTGACAGAGCATTCACTGAGACAAAGACACGAGTGTCTTGGCTCTGACAGCAGGCAATCGTGGGCTCAGAGGGGGCTGACAGATTGTGTGAGAAGCTGTCAAGAACTGCACTGACAGCGCTGAGAACAAATGCTGGGAAGGTAGTGTCAAAAAAGTGCCAAACGTGCACCCGCACTGGGGTCCTCAGGGATCAACGTAAATGGGAAATAAACAGTATGTGGAAATGGAGATCCAAGCAACAAGGCAGCGAAAAATGATCAGACAGGTAAATGGAGGACAAACACAGCTGAAGCTGGAGGAAATGGGTGCTGCTCTTTTGGCCATCCAATGTGGGACACGTCACTCCAGAAAGGGGCAACGACTCACCGAGACAGCATTCGGAAAGCATATTGAATGAACTGAGCACTCGCTCAGTATTCAATAAACACTAGCAATTATTATTAGGTTTGCATATTTATTGCCTGCCATATCTTACATTTTATATATTGTTTTCACTAGTTCTCTCAATACTCTAGGGCATTTATGTTACTGCCACAATTTTAGAGATAAGAAAACTGAGGATCATAGACATCACACTATTAGTAAATGGTAATTAATGCCAGGGTTAGAATTTATGTATGTTGGACAAAAAATGTCCATGCTTTTTTTCACCAATTCCATCTCTATTGCAAAGCCAATGAGATTTTGGTGAAATATCTGTTATGAATTAAAGGTGGTCATAATTCTCAGACACTTTTCCCATTGACAGGCAGAGTCTTGGTCCTTTCCTCT